ATTAAATAATTAATATATATATTTGTTTAAAATACTACAAAAAATAGTTTTAGGTAGAAAAAAAAAAAAAAACGAAAAAAAGACGATATCGCTTATAAATTAAAGATATGGTCATATTGAATACTATACCTACACATATATGCATGTATATGTAAGTCCAGAAATAGGCCATCATACCTTTTGGCTATATTCTTGCATTCATTGAAAATCCATCCTATCACTTATCAATGTTTCACCTACAATCTTTAACAACTATTGCTATTTTCTTCAAGTTTACATTATTTCACCTTTTTTTTTTCTGAAAATATATGCATAAATTGGTATTCTTCACAAAAATAATCAATGTTCTATCTTTTAACAGTACTTACCATTGATAATTATTTGTAATCCAAGAAATAAAATGAAAAAAAAAAGTGAAATCCATTTGTTATATAATAAACTATCGTTTCTTAAAGCAAGATGAGATGGGAAAATTGATAAACTATTTAAAAATGCTGCTAAATAATGATGCACCAGAAGAGCATATTGCATATATGTTTATGTAAATTCGTCAAATATATCATATAATTTATTTTCTCAATTGAAATTCTTGAAGAAGATTATTCCACCAACAAAAAGGGAAAAAAAATAGTTGACAAGTTTTGAATGTTGTGCAATTTTCCCTTTTTTATTCTCATCTATCCATTCTATCTATCTATCTATCTATCTATCTATTCATTCTATCTAATCATTTATCCACCTTTTTACGCGCTTTTTTTTTAGCTTATTTAAATCTCATTACAATTCAGTTCTTTTTAGCTTCTGAAAAAACATTTTGCAATTTCATTTTTATAATTAATTATTCATAAATTTATGGAAAAGTTTTTGTGCGATAAAACACGAAATAAAAACTATTAAAGTAAGGGTATTGGAATTTTAAAATAATTCGCACTTAATTGAGAATTAGTAATCTTATTGTTGTTATTAAAGTGAATTGTTTTATTATTTTCAAAATTTTAAAACTTGAAGTGGTGTTGAAATAGGTAAAATAAATGCACATTTGCAACATATGCTTGTGAATTATAATAATAATACTAAGGTAAGCGACAGTGGTGGTCAGAAAACGATGACAAAGAAGACAAGAAATATGCAAAAAGATATTTAAAAACTAGTTACAACTTTATATCAGAATTTTTGAAAATTTTACGATTTAGAATAAATTCTTATTTTCACAAAATTTGATGATATATTTCAACATTGTTTAATGCATTAATCAGTTAAATATTTGAAAAACTAATAAGTAAAGTATGTTTAATAAAAAATGAAAAGAAAAAGATTGAGCTTTGTTTAGTTGGAAGTTTTGCTTTGGCCAGTTAATATATCTTAGCTCAAAAAAAAATCGAATAGATAATGATGGAAGGAAGCAAGAAAGTAAGTAAATAAATGAAAAATTTACAAGTTAAACATTATGCCAACACTCTTTTTCCGTTATTTTTTATTTATTTCATAAATATTCTGCAATATTTAAATTTCTATCTTTCTTACGTATTCCATCTTTACTTTTTTCTTTTTAATTTCAGTTCTTTTATGACAATGTCTTGTCCAATCATTTTATACTCACAAGAAATATTTCAAAAAAACATTCCAAACATATGTTATAAATTTTTATCCATGTTGTCGCCGATTTTCTTCAACCGTCACAAAGACTGAGGGTTCTTTCTGCCTTTTTAGTTGATAGTACTTCAAACATGGGCAATTAAACCTTTATTTCTATAAGTTAGCTAATATAGAAACGAATTCAAGAATTACAATATCAATAAGAACAAAAGGGGAGACCATAGACCAAATGACGCCCGATATCGTCTATCCAACCGACCTGTTGAAACACGTCTTTCCAAATGATTTTGCGCTCAGGACCTTCTTCCTTGAATAGGGCGTATCTTGACATAGTTCCGAGGTCAATTCTGAGGTCACTTCTGGGGTCACAAGAATTATCATTATTAGAGAATATAAACACAATGGACGCAACATACTAGTTTACATTGCACAGTATATCCACACATACAATACATTGTACCAGTATCAAAGCAACTATTGATTCATTGCTTCTCCTCATGATTTCAGCGACACATATGTTTAATTTTTCCAAAAACATTTCAAGCATATGTTACAAATTTTCATCTATGTGTATCAATGATCAGGTTTTTTCTTCCTTTTTTTTCGTAATTTTTCTAAG